CTGCTTTTGTTGAAAATATTCTCTGGTGCTTGGATTTGGAACTCTTCACCTTCTTCTATTCCTATTATTCTTAGGTTAGGTCTTTTCATAGTATCCAAGAATTTTTTGAATATTTTGTGTCAGGAATATTTTAGATTTAACATTTTCTTTGACTGATGCATCAATTTATTCTGTTGCATCTTTGATTCCTGAGAATCTCTCTTCCAAATTTTGGATTCTGTTGGTGATGATGTTTGCATCAGTTGTTCCTATTCTCTTTCCATTTTTTCCATGTCCAGGATTCCCTCAGATTGTTTTCTTTGTTGCTTCTACTTTCATTTTCATGTGTTAGGCTGTTTTATTTATTTCCTTGACCTGTTTGATTTTTTTTTTCTGTATTTCTTTAAGGGATTTTTTATTTTCTGCTTAAAGGCCTTTATCTTTTTAATTGTATTTTACTGTACTTCTTTGAGGGATTTATTGATTTTTTTTCTTTAAAAGACTCTATCATCTTTATAAGATTGGGTTTAAGGTCATTTTCTTGTGCTTCAACTGTTTTAAGACATCCTGAAATTCCTATAATATGAGAGTTGGGTTCTTGTGTTAACATATTGCCCTGGCTCTTGTTATTTGTGCTCTTACACTGGACTGTCACCATCAGGTTTTCTCTGGTGTAGACAGTCCTTCATTAATGCAGTCAGAGTTGAGGGCCAGAAAGTGGAGCATTGGGGAGAAGGTACAATTTATCTCTGGTGGTCTCTGGAGCCTTCAGGAATGAATGTAGGGATCTAGTCCAGTAGATGACCCCTGCAGGGGACAGGGCTTAATTCACCATGCTGTATTTGCCCAGGTACCCTGCGCAGTCAGAGTGCTGATGCACACAGGTCTTACCTATCTGTCCTGGACTGGGTATCTGCAGGCATCCAAGGAAGGGGGCTGGGGTTTGGGCCAGGATGGACTTAGGGGGGCCCATGGGTGGTGTGGGGCTCTCTTCTACTAGGTTTGCTTGGAGGACAGGGCAGGCTGGGAGTTGTGAACAGAGGGGTCTCACCTGGTAGTCCCTGGGGTCAACTATCCTTGGGGAATGCCTGAAGGTGTGTAGTCCAGCAGATGAAGAGTACAGGGGAATGGTACATAGAGGTCTCACATGTCTGTTCCTGGCCAGGTACCACAGGCATCCAGGGATGGGGAATTCATTGTGGGCTGGGTCAAAGGCGAATTCTTATTGTGCCTCAAAGGGTTCACATGTAGGTAACACATTGATTACTACCTCCTCCCTGGCAACATGCCTAGAACCATGCATCACTGAAAATTGGCTAATAGAGATAAAAGTTCCAGATACCATAAAAGTTTGTTTTAGTTCTTCCTGTAACATAAGCAGTAGTGTCTTCAGAAATATAATCTTATTATCAACTTTGGAATGTGACTAAGAAAACTGGTTATAGGCTATAATGTTTTGAGCCCACAAACCACCAACTAAAAAGAGAGGTAACCTATTGTTGGCCATAGTGTTTTTCTTGAATGAATGTCCAGAAGAGACTTTGTCTTTCTGTAAAGCATGAGTTAACTTAAACTCTTTTCCTTAATGTATCTCTCTGTCACAGTAGCAAGTTTCCATGTGGTATTTTCTATTACCTTTGGTCTTAGTTATTCCCACTCCGGCTGGTCCTAGACGTTCCTGTATCCTTACTGTCGTTTCCTCCATTTTACCCACTACGTATTTGTCCTCTTCTCTGTAAACAGCTCAATGACCAGTTATGAGATTTCCAACTTCTGGAGGTACTCCAATTTAGGTACACATATCTAAAGATATGCTCACCATGTGTGAGAAGCAACTTCATGTGGAGTTGGTTTTTGTAGGTCTGTGTCATCACACGCAGAATGATTATTACCTTTGCTCTGTGAATTTTACTGTCTCAGTTTTCATAAGACATGAATTATATTGCATATATATAGTACTGTATTTTCATTATAACTTATCAGTTGATGGATATTCATGATTTTTTGAATAGAACATCAAGAAGCATAAATATCCACAAGTGGAAGTGTAGTTGTCATTTAAGAGTAATCTGAGAATATGCTCAGGAGTGGCCTAGCTCAGACATATTTTTAGATCTTTATCTGGCTTTTTGAGGAAGCTCCCTGCTGACTTCCATAGTGCCTGCACCAGTCTGCACTCCCAAAAACAATGAATACCCAGTTCCACCATACCCACATCCATTCCAGTTTATGCTGTCATTTTTTATCTTGCATATTCTAACTGGGGTAACATGACATCTCAAAGTAGTGTTCATTTGAATTTTGATGAAGACTAAGGGTTTGAATATATACAAACATTTCTCAGCCACCTTCATTGTTTTTCTTCTAGAACTTTCTGTTTTGTCCCAATGTTTAAGGAGCTTTTTTTTTTTTTTCAGGACTTAGTTTTTTGAGTGCTTTGTATATTCTAGACACTAACTTTTGTCAGATGTGTAGTGGGTACGTTTGGATTTTTTCATATTATATAGGCCAGAGCTTTTCTCAAATAAAAGTGTCCTTTGCTGTGCAGAAATATGTTAGAGTTGTGAATTCCCACTACTCATGACTTAATTCCTACAATCAGGCATTCCAGTCAGAAGGCCATTTGTTGTGCCTGTAAGTTGAAGCTTATTCACTATAATCTCTCTTAATAGATTTAAGGTATCAGGTCTCCCATTAAAATTCTTGACATACTTTGGTTGTGTTTTGTGTAGGGTGGAAATAAAAACCTATTTTCATTCTCAAAAATGCAACATCTACTTTGACCAGCACCGTTTGTTGAAGATACAGGATTTTCTCTAATGTGTATTTTGACCCTTTGTAAAAAATTTCAGATGGCTATGGAATTTTGACATATATGTGATACTCAGTTCTATTGCACTGATTGGTGTGCTGTTTATATATGACATTACTGTGCTTTTAAACACTCTAGTTCTGTACTGCAACTTGAAAATAATACTACAAGTAATCTTTTAAATTACAGGATTTTTTGTATATTCTGGGATTTTTTTTGTGTTTCCACATTCATTTGAAATGACTTTTCCTCTTTTTGTGGAAAACCGCACTGGAATTTTGAAGAAAAGTTCGAAAATCTATAGGTTGTTTTTGAAACGTGGTCCCTTTCACACACTTAATATGTTGTGTTATATCTTTCTTTTGTCTTATTGTTATAGCTATGAATTTCAGTCCTTGAAGAAGTTCATAGACGCATGAGGACATAATTTCAAAGTTTACATTCTACTAAATTGGAAGATCTAAAATAAAGCATATGTATTTCTAGATGTATAACACCTATCAATATTATGTCAAGATAGGTCATTTAAACAAACTCATACAAACAAAGAAATAAAAGGAGTAATTTCATCATGCCACAACAGGAAAAAAATATGGCCAGATTGATTCACTGTTTAGAATCTATCATAATTTCAGATATTAGCATCAATGCTCCTCAATGTATTCTGTAAAACGAAAAAAGAAAATTTCTTAAAATCTTTTGTTAAATGACGTATTATACTAGTACTAAATATAGACAAAAACTATAAACAGATATCTAAGGGTGACTCTTTCTGGTGAATATAAGTGTGAAATTCTAGATAAAATATTTGCAAACCCAATTCAAGAGATGTATAGACAAATCATCCTGGTAAAAATAGGTAAAAATTCTCCATAAAATGCTTGCAAACCAAATGCAGGAATACATAAAATAGACCAATTCTAAATCATTTTTGAGGACTGAATATATTTTATGTCAAAAATTCAGCAATGATTCAAATATATATAAAACACATGGCATAGATGAGCTCAAGAACAGAAAACACATAAACTTTTCATTAGATGCAGAAACAGCCTTTGAAAAGTCCAACATCTCTTTACGATATGTGTCCATAGAATTTCTGATTATGGAGGCCATGTCTTTGTATAATAAAAGCAACATAAATCAAGGCTACTAACAAAACCTTAGGCAGAGTGCAGGGAATCATATGAAAGAAGGGGGAGTTAGTAAGACGTGGAGAGGACAGGAGCTTTGCAAAGACCAAATAAATATATCTGGGCACAGGGGTCTTTTCTGAGACTGATTCTCCAACCAAGGACCATACATGGATATAACCTAGAATCCCTTCTCAGACATAGCCCATGGCGGCTCAGTATCCAAGTGGGTTCCCTAGTAAGGGGAACACAGACAGTCTCTGACATGAACTTGGTGGCTGGTTCTTTATCCCACCCTCTCCGAAGGCAGAACAGCCTTGCTAGGCCACAGAGGAAGATATTGTAGCCAGTCCTGATGAGACCTGATGAGCTAGGATCAGATGGAAGGGAGCAGGATAGCCCCCATCAGTGGACTTAGAGAGGGCAGGGAGGAGATGAGGGAGGAAGGGTAATTAGGAGGCTAATGAGGGAGGAGGCTAGAGCTTGGATGCAAAGTAAATAAACTGTAATTAATATAAAAAATAAAAATTTAATAAAAAAGCAAGGCTATAGCCAAACTCAACTTAAATGGGAAAACATACAAAGCATTTACAATAAAATCAATAGCGGCACAAGTAAACCAGCTCTCTCTGAATGACATTTCCTGAGTATGATTTTCTTTCTGATGAAGCTATCACTGATTTTTTCTTTCATTTACCACTAAAACCAGCCAGCACTGGCAAGCTGGACCAGAGAATCTCTTCCAAGACCATTTACTTTCAAAGCATGAGAAAGCAACTAGAGAATCCAGGGCCATATTTCTTTTACTGTGCCCACTGCACATACTTATCACATCCAATATTTACTTTTGCAGAGCACGTGGTTGTGCTCAGGTCCCAGTTCTTTCTTCTTTGATTTTCTTTCCACTTCTACAGTGTGTGGTTCATTGGCACCTCGCTTATCACTAAGGTTAGTGTTTTATGTTATGGTTCATGCTAACCTAATAAATATAATATAGACTATTTCTACATTTCTCCTGTTGTCTGCTTTTTATTCTTGTAAGAAATGGCTTTCCACATAATTGATAATTTTTTTTTCAAAATCACAGAGAGAGGTGGTTTCAATGATGCCATATTTGTACCTTTGATCCTTTGTATCTGATATGTCTAATCTCATTTTAGCTCTTTCTGATCTGGAGATTGTGGCCCAATCAATCTCATTTTTTTTGGCTGGCTATGATACTACAAGCACTGCTCTTTCCTCTATAATGTATACACTGGCCACTCACCCTGATGCCCAGATGAAACTCCAGCATGAAATTGACACAGTTCTGCCCAATAAGGTGAGTATTTCAACTATAAATACTTCTTCCACACTTGTATTCATGATAATAAACTAAGTAAACTTGGTCCTTGAAGAAATAGCCAGTGATAATCTTAGTGCCAAATAAAAGGAGACATGGAGAACAATGGTGTTCATAGAGAGAATTAATCTTTGTACTTCACTAATGAACCTCTAACATCTATTTTTTGCTCCCATAATGACATAGTCCAAAATCATGCATAAAATCTCTAGATATAAAGGTTAAGCATTCTTCAGTCAAGTATCTTTTAAAATTTTACTTAACGTGTATAACTGTTTTGTCTGAATGTGTATCATCATGTGCATGCCTGGAGCCTGAGGTGACCAGAATAGAAAAACAGAACTCCTGCCACTAGAGGGCCAGCAATTGTGATCCACCATCTGGGTACTGGGAGCCAACTCTGGGTGCTTTGCAAGAGAAAACCATCTCTTAACCACTGACACATCTCCCTAGACACTCACCCAGCGACCTCTTATTATTATTACTGGAAATGGCGTGGCATGACTGTTGTCAACGGAGCTTTGTCTTGTCTAAGCTGGGAGGACTGACTCAGATATTCCCCCCATTACTCCTCTCTCCAATCATAGAATTAGACTTGAACAAGGAAAACCATGGCAGTTTCCAACATAAACTTTTCACCTCTACATGTAGCTTCGATGTCCTGTAAAGTGACAGCCACATATTATATAAGCTGTCTTCACATATATGGCCCAAATGCATACAATGAGGTTGATGCACCTGAACTCTGTGACTGGGTTGTCAGTGAGAAGCATGAAAGACATCCTCGGGTCTCATATTCACCTTCTGGTCTTGCTTCATTCTGTCCTGTGGCAAATACCATGATCAAAACAAAATGGGGAGGAAAGGATTCTTTTCAGCTTGCATTTTATGATGACAGTTAATCTTTGAGGAGGGTAAAAGCAGGGACTCATGGCAAGAACTCATAGGCAGGACTGCTTGTTACTCCACATAGCTTTTCTTCTGACAAAGCTGCTTACTCACAACCAAATAGGCACAGCATGGGCCATTGAAGATGCTGGTTGCTAGCTGGCCCACTCACTGATCGATCCTTATGTAGCTATTCTTATACTGCCCAGTATAATCTGCTCATGAAATATTGCTACCTTCAGTTGTATATAACCAGCCGCATCAGTCAGGACAACACCACACACACACATATCCACAGAACAATCTAACCTAGTCATCCTTCATTTCTCATGTGAGACATCTTTGGTAGGCAACTCTCAGCTGTGGGGTGATGAAACTTAAAGATTTCTTATTACAACAATCCATGAAAAAAAAGAAAATTGCTGAAACAACTAAGCATAGACTTGAATGGACCTTTCAGTAGAATAGAAACTTTGTCCTCAGTTATTGTCCATTTGTATTTTATATTACTATGATGATTTTCAAAGAGAAAAAAATCATACTGAATTTATTTCGTTATACTGTCATGTTATTCCTATTTAATATGACCTTAATTTTCAAATGGAATATCTATGGTAAAGAAAAACTCAATTATAGAATTTAAAAACTATGAGTTGTCCTTTGGAAGGCCTTATATGTAATTTTCAAAAAGGAATTTGACGTTGCCCGCATTATATTTCCTTGGTATGGCCTTGTGGACTCTCTATGTTGTTATGCTGCCTTTGCTAGCTGATTAGGGGGAAGGATATTGACGTAACATGTCATTCATGATTACTGAAAAGGAAAGCAATACAAAGGGAGGCTGAAGACTGGGGAGCTAAGTGTAAGTTTATCTGAATATCCCTCTGCACTCACTCTACCATGCATTTCAATGGCCCTTTGCTAGGCTGGTCAACACATGTGACTGTGGCGAAGATGATGTCTCGGGGGAAATTGCTCGTTAATTAGGTTAAAAGTGGAGTTCCTGACATCTAAAAGTGCTGTACAGATTGCCGTGAAAGGTAATTAAAATCTCGAATCAACACAAATCTGTTTTTCTCTCTCCAGGCACCTGCCACTTACGAGGCCCTGGGAAGGATGGAGTATCTGGACATGGTAGTGAATGAAACTCTGAGATTATATCCTCCTACTTTCAGAATTTCCAGACTCAGCAAGAAAGATGCCCAAATCAATGGTGTGTTCATTCTCAAAAATACCAGTGTAACTGTACCTGTCTTTACTCTTCACCACGATCCGGAGCACTGGACAGAGCCTGGAAACTTCCTCCCTGAAAGGTAGAGGGCCCTGAAGAACACACTGGAATCATGTTTCACTCAGCACATCATCATGGCTTTTACTGTGATCACATAGCTATAAGTACATGTTACCTTACATGTATGGATGTTTTAGAATGTTCTCATTACAAAAAGATACTTATTGTTAAAAAAAAAACCTGCAGGAGTTTTAGCTGAACAAAAAGATGATATTTTTATATTTTTGTAATTTATTTAGAGTCTTAAAACCTTAACACAAATTCCTTTAATATAGTGATATCATAGTACATACTTTGAAGTATGTGTAGGTACTTAAAAATTAGAAAAAATATTAAGTTTCTCCAGTTTTTATGAATTCTGATTACTTTCTATAACCTATAAGTACTCTTTTGTGAAACATGTTTGTGTGATGTATGTGCCTGTGTGAGTGTGTATGTCAGAGTAAGCACAATAACCGTATTTAGGAGAATATCTTATTTTTGTTAGGTTTATATTTCTTTGATATTGTCCATAATGTCATAAGAACTCTCTAGACACATCCCCAAATACAAGAATCACTTCTCAAATATAGGAATCCATTAGATTAAACATCTGCTCATAAAAGAAGGTGCAGAGAACCTCACCTTTGTTGGTTCACACAACCTCACTGAGGATGAATGAGAAAAGAAGCGCTCTCAGTATTGCTTCTGTCTGCTTCCTGAGGCCAGCTCCTCATGCCCACCGGGCGGGTGACCCTTCCAGAGCCAAGCCATCCACTCCCTAGAAAGTCAGTGTGTTCGTCCTTCTTGACTCTGCAGCAGGGTCTTCTGTGATTGCAAAACAATAAGCAGTCTGTGCGCACTGGATGCAGGACGGAAAGGGTTCAAAGTTTTTAACACACTGATGACAATAGAGAACTTTGTTTTTTCTTAATTTTTTTAAGTTTGAGAATATAATTTTTAGGTATAAATGTTCTTCCTTTCCTTTCCTCCCTCAAAATGCTCCTATACAACCCTTCCCAAGCTTTTTCATGTTTGTGGCCTCTTTATTCACAAATTGTTATTATTTGCAGATAGGTATATGGATATAGGTATTAATTCTAAGAAATAACCTGTCCAGTCTATATGATGCTACTTATGTGTAAATGGGATTTTTAAGATAGTTGCAATTGAATCAGGCGTAAAGAATTTAGACATTCAGGAGCATCTTTAAAGGGATTCTTGATGCCTAAGATCTTGTATTCTTAGCTATGTATCTCTGGTGTTAGCAGATGCTATACATATAGTGCTTATTAAGGGAGTCAAATAAAATTGACTAATTCGTGTTTCCTGGCTACATGACTTCTATGTCCTTTTTATATAGCCCTGCTCCCACCTCCTGTAGCTTAGTGACTACAAACTTGGACATTATTCATTATGCATTTCTGTGATTGCTCCAGCTTTCATTTACATCGAATTATGGGCTCAGTAAACATCAGTGACTAGTCCATGGGATTAGGAGTGCAAAAGTTTATATAAAGTTTATAATCAAACACTATATATATATATATATATATATATATGAAGTCTACAGAAAAGTTTTAATGTTTCTCATGTTTGTATGTAATCTTCCCCTACAAGATTCCACCAAGTTCAAGTTTCACTCACATAGCAACACAACTCTCACCTGACCCCAAAGCTGTTCTGTAAAAATATCACTTAAGAATTAGTTCAGAATCTTCCCTGATAGTTAGTAACACTCATAAAACAGGTGGTTATTAGTCTTCCAGAACATTCTAAGCATCAGCATTTTTTTATACAATCACATGAGAAATCAAAATTTAATTGGACACAAGACTGTACTTTTAATAAAAGTCAGTGATAAGAGAACAGAAAAGCAGCATGTGTCCTTGCAAACTACTTTATCTGGTAACTAGGGAAAGAAAGCCAAAAGTTTTGTTAAAGGAACTTATTTGGGGGAAAGGAAGCTGGCGAGAAAAGGAAAAATGAGAGAAAAAAGAGATTACGATGGATAGAAGAAAAGGAGAAAAGGACAGGAAGAGAGGGAGGTAAGAAGATAAAGGAATGGAATAGAAACGTTTCATTCATAACATGCATTTTCTCCTTCTCCAGTGAGTGAACTCCAACTCAAATGTCAGGGCAATTCCTTCTTCTTTACACTGATTTTGTGATGCTTACACACAGAAACAGAGACAATCTTTAGTATCTTAAAATTTATAGACACATTTGATTTCAATGAGCATTTACTGCACAGCATCTTAGTAACACTGGGATTTCCTTTACTGCAAAGCTTTATAAAACAATTTTAATTTCCGAATCTCATAATAAATTATCTGCACAGGACTGGAATAGTGAAAAGACTGAAGTACTCTGTACGGTTCTGGCTGTGGGCTGTAAAGGAAAAGTACAAACATGTCACTCTTATACACTTCTTGTTTCATTATTTATGTTCCTGCTTACTTATGACACCAGGCTCAGCAAGGAGAACAAAGATAGAATCAATCCTTATGTATACATGCCTTTTGGAATTGGTCCTAGAAACTGCATTGGCATGAGATTTGCTCTCCTAAACATGAAGCTTGCTGCTGTCAAAATCCTGCAGAACTTTGGCATACACACTTGTGAAGAAACAGAGGTGAGGCAAAACATATTCACTTCTGGCATGTTTTAAATTGTTATTCATAGGTATTTTCACATATGTGGGGATATATACATACATGTTCCATATGTATATGAAATATACTGATTTACCATTAATTAAGGTTTTCTCTGTCAAAAAGCTATGTAAAGCCACGGGTGAGTCTAGGGCCTTTCAGTTCTGGAGCAGCCAATCTGTGTCTAAGTGTAAATGGTAAGATCACTTAGAGTCAGGGAAGATATTCCTTATATGATTATGTATAATGTCACTAACTGTAAATGGTTTTTTCTTGTTACCAGTACATATTTATTTTATAAAATAATAGACTTTTTAAAATAACATTTTCCTTCTTGTGTATACCATGCATGGTACAGGTTTTTCTTTGTTCTTCTCTTATAAAATACATTCCAACCATTGCCTCCACTCCCTCCTCTCCTTCCTGCCCCTCCTCCTCTCTGCTCACAATCTGCTGCTGCTTCATTTTCCTTCATAAAAGAGCAGATCTTCCAGTGATCTCAACCAAGCACGGCATAAGAGGATGCAATCAGACTATGTACAGACACTCTTATTGTGGCTCAGTGAGAAGACCCAGGAGGAGAAAAACGAGCCCACAAGCAGTCAAGAGTCAGAGACACACCCTCTCCCACTGTTAGGAATTTTACAAAAACCCAATCTCACAAGAACAGCAGAGACCCAGGCAGGCTCCACGTTTGCCCCTTGATTCTCTGTGAGCTCCTGTGACCTCTTCTGAGTTGAAAATGTGGGTCATGTTCTCCTGATAGCCTCTGACTCCTATGGTCATGCAACAGGATTTTAAACTGTGTTTCCAGTTAACTGTGTATATGAACATGTTTTGTCTCCAGTAGGTGTAATGATCAACTTTTGATACAGGAGACTAATGCCCTAATAGTTCTCAAAATCGTCCCTCTATCCTGAACTTACATGTGTCAGATTGGAAGGTAAATGTATTGTTTAGAAGTCAGACTATGACCACCGTGTTTTTCATGTACAAACCCTACTCAGGGTTGTCTTTCTACTTTTACTACTTGAAAGTTAACTTTATATTATGTTTTAAAATGTGTGGCCTCTGTGTTTACAAATGTGCTTCACAAAACTCAAACATACGCTTTGCATTTAAAATTTAGATTAATAAGATAGATTTTCCACCACAATTTTGTCTCAGACTTTTTACAGAATAGTTGCTTAATATATATGTTGAAGTATGAATAGAGTAAAACATGTTTTCCTATTCTGTACAAGCAATGGAATTGCTGTATTCATTCACTTAAAACGATAGCGCTATTTAATTACAGGAATCAGTCCACATTGTTTAGGATAGTATGAACATGAGAGGTAGCTCAGCAAGCCTTAACCTTGTGTTCTTCTCCCTCTTATCTTGAATGTTAGGATCACAGCCATGAGATGACACAGAAAGAAGTCATTATCACTTTTCATATATTAATCCTACCATCTTTCCCTGAAATTTGGGGATTCGTTTTCCTTACCAATGTGTTTATTCAACCTTTTCAGGTTCCCTTGAAATTGAATAATAACATACTTGTTTCTCCAAAGAAACCTATTGTCCTGAAGATTATACCAAGAGACAGGGCCATAAATGAAAGCTAATTTTATCTCAAGTTCTGTTATGTTCTTCAAAGGGTGCATCCTAAATACCGGAGATTTTAACTCACCCTGGAACAAATATGACTGCATAAATATGACTTTAATCAACCATGTTTCATTAATTGATTCATTAATTGATTATTCATAATCTTTAATTACTTTCATTGTGGTGTTAGAGTCTTGATTATTGTGTA